AAAACATGATGAAAAGAAGAGGAAGGAGTTTGAGAGCATAAGGAAGGAGCATTGGAGACAAGAGGAAGCTTCACGGAGAACAAAGAAATGTGAAAAATCGGATATGATTTGACCCGGAGATAATAAGAGATCAAATAAAGCAAGTGAACATGGGAAAATCAGATTATGTCTTAGACCCAACCACCTCACTTCTCCTATAAAAACACCCCTTTCCTTCCTATTTTAGATACCAATTTAATCCCCTCTTTCACATACACTTTATTCTTGTAATTTAGGTAGTCTTTCCATCTTGGTTTTGCTACTTTGAAGCTTAATAAATTTGTAAGTTGTGAGTTATTCTCTTTAATCTTCTTCCTTGAATATTAATTCTTCCTTTGAATACTATTTTTATATCAATGTTGGGGAGTGTTACTAAGATGACAATTAGTTAACATCTTGACATTAATTATAGTAATAGCTATTTCTTCCTCTATGTTAATATTGGGGAGTGTTACTAAGATGACAATTAGTTAACATCTTGATATTAACTATAGTAGGATTCATCTTCTTTAATATTCTTCCTTGAGTATTAATTAATTCCTATACATATTTCATATTAATATTTTGAACATTACTTAAAGGATCAACTAGTTTTGTTTCATATATTAATTATTACTAGAATCGGTCGATTAATACGCTTGTTATTAATTCGGTCTTTTCGCCGTAGTAAACTTGGGTTATTAATGCATGCGTTTCATGGTTAATAAACCAAGGGGAATTAATTATATTGATTAAACCAATAAACCGCTTGTGTTGAGGTTATCAATCTCAATCGTTTTCATCTTGATTTTATTGCTACTATCAAGTTAATATACGGCGCTTGTTCTATATTGACTCGGTAGTAAGTTTTATTAATGAACGCTTCTCGTTATTAATAACTACCCTCGATGAACTGGATATACTCCTCGATTGAGTATTCGAGAGGAAGATAGTTAAAGATATAACCGGGATCGACGAACATTTCATTAAGTGGATAAAAGCAAAACCAAGACTAATTACCTTTGATATTGTATTTCACTCATTTAACTATTTTATTTGCTTTCTTAATTATCAAAATATCCAATTCCCCCTTCCGTTTACTTTTATTTATTACGCTTACACATACGCGAAAAGCTCCTTTCCCTGTGGATACGAACTCTACTACGCTATACTACGGTATTAGCCCTTAGTAGTGAATTTAATTTGAGGCACACTACGACAAAGTGCTCGTCAATATGCACACAACAAGGGCACCCCACGGACTCATGCCCAACTCTTCAAGAAGACAATCTAGAGCAAGTCAACGCCTTGGGTTTCCAAGGGCATCAACAAAGGAGGTACGACCCATTCTCAAACTCTTACAACCCCGGATTGAGGGATCATCCAAACTTGAGATATGGAAACCCCCAGCAATCCAACCCTCCACAAAACCAAGGCCAAGGCTCGAATATGTCCACAGAGGACATGATCCGAGCACTCACCTCAACTGTCTCGACCATGCAACAAAATATGGTCCAATTTCAACATGAGACCAAGTCTAGCATCCAAAACCCTGAGAACCAAATGGGACAAATCTCAAGTACGGTGAGTAGGCTTGAGGCCAAGAATTCGGCCAAACTCCCTTCTCAAACGGAACAAAATCCAAGACAACATGTTAATGCAATCATGTTGAGAAGTGGTACGACACTGAAGGAGGTAGATGATCAAGAGGTTGAGGAAGTTGATCGTGAGGATGCTAAATCAGAGGAGGGGACCCCAAAAGCAAAAGTCCCTCCAACTTCATCCTACGAACTAGTAGCCCCATTTCCCGAAGCGCTGAGAGAGACAAGGAAATCGGAGAAAGATACGGACATCTATGAGACTTTCGCCAAGTGTGAGGTAAACATTCCGCTCCTTAACTTAATGAAAAGTGTCCCTCGTTGACATTATTTTAAGTGGGGGCACGTTGACATATTGATGTTCTTTTAATAGTACGTGTACTTATGTGATGGTTTTTGTAGTAGAAGCTAGGGTTGATGTAACTTCTTTGATGTAGTGGGAGGGTGTGTATATATGATCCCTTTTCCAAAATAGACTCTTGGTTGCTTATTACTCTTTTGAAATAGTATTGGCTTATAAAGATCACATGTAAATGTTGTGAGAATATATGGTTTGTTTTTAGAGACATCGAAGTTATTGTTTACTTTGATAAATAGATCATTTTCAATATCCATTTTTTTTATATTTTTTGCTGACCGCACTAAAAGTTATTGTCTACTTTGATAAATAGATCATTTTCAATATCCTTTTGCTTTGCATTAGAGCAGATCTCATGGCCATTTTTTGTTGTCAATTCTATACTAAATTTTAAACAAACAACATGCTATGAGTGGAATAAATATCTTAGTTAGCTGCATGTTCAAGCTTTAATATTAATCTTAAGTATCCTTTTTTTGTTGAATTTGATTGTGCTGGGGAAAACACTGCCCCCGGCCAGATCCAGGATCACAAGTTCAAAGGACTTTTATACACTCACCCACACACCCGTAATGTAAAGTCTCCATCTGACAATAACACTTTGTATTATACAATTTAAATGTACAAGAGATGTTTTACAAATAAACGGGTAGCTCACATCACTCTTTGTATATGAGACTACTTCACTCTCACTGTCTCACACCCCTCTCTCAAGGACTCACTCACTCACTCAAGAGCTCTCCTCAAGGCCCTCTCTTTCTCTCATCACTTGAGGAGGCTCTCTCTAGGCTCTCACATGGCTCACTCACATAGCTCCCACTCAATGCCTCCTCATGGCTCACACCCTTATGAATGAGGAGTCCCACCTTATTTATACAACTCTCCTCATAACTTCTATAGATCTTTAATTTCTATACAACACTACACTTCTAGATTGTTCTATGAAGTGTTCACAAGCTTCTCTAATCTTCTAGAAAGATCTATAGAACTCCACATCGCTTGAGAATGTTTTATAGGCATTCATACACTTCCGCATGATTCTAGAGAATTCCACACTTCTCTAGAAAAATCCACAATGTTCTAGAATGTTCTACACTCTTCCACACGCTTCTAGATAATTCAACGTCTCTCTAGAAAGTTCCAAAATATTCTAGAACATTCAATACGTTTCTACACACATCTAGAGAATTCTAGACTTCTTCGCAATATTCTAGAAATCTCATTAACTCTCAATTAAGGAGGGAACCCAACAGATTGCATTGAGGTTTGGGTGTGTATTTATTATTGATAAATTTAGTTTTTCATAAAAGTATTTGGCAGAATGTTTTTAAGGATACAAGTATGCTAAAGCCTACTTATTTCGAACGTGACGGTTAATGCTACAATATTTATCCATAACAATTCTTGGAGTCATATACTACCTCCGTTCTTAAATAAGTGCAACATGCTAAATTTTACACTATTCGTATGTTCTATTTTGACTACATTTTATTTATTGATGTATTAATATATTTTTTTTTTAAAAAATATCACTAAATTTGTCTCGTTGTAAATTTTCAAAATCTGATTCCTTAAATTTTTTACTAATAGAGAATTATATATATTAATGGTCAAAGTTGTGCCTCGGCAAGTGTGAAATGTTGACTGTTGCACTTATTTAAGAACAGAGGAAGTACATACTTGCATATTGATGATGTGATTGGTCAAGCAGCCCAAGAGGTCATTATATTATTTGTTGCTGTTCAAGGAATGTACTTTTTTGCTATGTTTTTAATCTACTTAATGATGACTCTAACTATATCTACCTAAGCTAAATGAAAATTGATGTTGGAATGTTGCATAAACCAAGCACTTGAAAATAATCTCGATCGGTAGAAGTATTTTAATTCGTGAATTTCACTAAATTAGACCAGACCAATATATATAATTGGCGAAATACTACCACATCCCAAAAATAAGAATACAAAGCAAAATTAATTAATATAGCCAATGGATACCTCATTGCAAAGTTAAGTGCATACAGACCATGGATCAGCCTTGGCACCTTCCAAGAACTTATCAAATGTTCACTTCTTGAATTCACATATTCACTTCTTTCTAGAAATCATCGGAGGCAAAAGACTTGTGAAATAAAGAATAAATATATTTGCTAAAATCTCAAACTTTGATTAGAAACATCGATTATAATATAAGCTTTGATATGATTACAAAATATCATTTACAACTCTCAGAAGTCCACAATTTATTCATTGATATGGTAAGAATAGAAAGCTCAATTTAAAAATGAGGGTGAATTGCATGTACACGAACTTGTATGAATATAAAAATTACGTAGAAAAGAATCACAAAACGGAAGAAGTATAATTCGAGATAAAAAGTAAGGTTTAGATTGAACATAAAAATAAAATGAAACAAACCTATTGCTAATCTAGTTCATTAATTAATTGTTGCCTTTTAATTAGTGAAGCACAAATCCTTACATTAAATAAGAGAAAAGGGACAAATAAGCCCACATATCAACAAAAAAAAGATCAAATAAGCCATAATTTAGGAGGTTCTGTCCGGTCATCGTCATTTGGAGCGATTCCCAGATGAATTTATTGAGATATTTGCCATTACTGGATATGTGTGCTACATCAACGCGTGGCCTGCTGACATAGCAAGTAATCCCAAAATGGACTTAATTGAACGTTTTTACAAAGTTCGGGGATTTGATTGATTCTTTTAAAAGTATGAGAATCTAATTGACTTTTTAATGAAAGTACGAGAACTAATTAATCGACAGTTTTTTAAAGTATACACGCTAACAATTTACGGAGTACTATTTACTCGTATTTCATTTTTAAATTACATGAATCATTTTTTAAAGTACACATTTCATTCTTGTTGATTAAGCTACTTAGCATTAGGAAACAACAGAGTTTGTTGATTGAGCTACACGGATACTAATTAATTGAAAGAAATGATTAGGAAAGTAATTGTATATAAATATATACCGTACCTTTATCTCTCATTACATTCTTCCACTCACCTAATTGAGATTCTCCTAGCTTTAAACCTCGATCATATGGATTATATGTGTAATGAGTTGGAAGAAAGCTTCCAGTGCCACGAACATGTCGTCCGTAGAGCCACTTTTGAGGTTCGGAATCCCGACGCAGCCAACCGTCGTCTCTCACGAGCCACCGTCACCACAATCGATTTCATGTGCCGCAGCAATCATCGTTTCACCGCCTATGAAGACGGAGCCAAAGATTCAGCCATCGACGTAGTTCCTCGAAAATTTTTGGAAACATCTTCCAGCATTGAATTCGCCGACATCGTCAACTGCAAACTCGGCGAAATTCGGGCCGCCATTCGCCGCAAGCTGTTCAGCTTGGGTGGCGGCATTTTTGATAAGTGGAATGAATTTGAAGGCACCGTCTCCGGAATAACGGCGGCGGTCCGCGACCTCGGCGCGTGCAAGGTGGCGCGCGTGTTCGTGGACGTGAAGCTGTTCCACATTCGGAGGGAGAGAGTGTTGCTCCCGGATCTGAAGTCGTTGACCGGGGATGCGGTCACGCTACCGGGCAGCCACGGAGGCGGAGAGAAGAGTTTTTGTGCGGTGTGTTTGGAAGGTCTGAAATTAAAAGCACGGGAAGTTGTGAAGACGCCTATCGCCGCGCGTAGGTTTCACGCCAAAAACATCCGAAAGTGGCGGCGCAAAATCCATCAGTACCCACTTTGCCGCTCCGAGCCGACGTTGACTGAAACGGCGGTGAAAGAGAATAAGGAACGCGAGTTTTATGCGGGGTATTCCGGCACGACTTCGCCGCCGCCGAGTTCTCTTCCTTTGCCATCCTTCTTACGGGAAAAAAGTGAAAAAGATCTTAGGAAGTTTAATGCGGGGTTTTCCGTCATGACTTCGCCGCCGCCGCCGCCGAGTTCTCTTCCTTTGCCTTCCTTTTTACGGAAAAAAAGTAAAAAACATCCGAGGATATCGATATCAACGGTGACGCTACATCTGTTTTATGCCGGGTTTTCCGTCATGACTTCGCCGCCGCCGAGTTATCTTAGGATATCGAAATCAACGGTGATGCTACTTCTTGCTTACGGCGTCTTACGGCATGTAGGGTGCAGATCAGATTTTTCAATTTGTATTTTCCATTATTTACAAACTCGTATCCGTTAGTTGTTGTAATGGATGGCCGGGTTTCAAATTTGTATTTACAGTTAATTTCCCTGCAAAGTACGTAATATTTAGATCCCTTCTCTTTTAGTCGTAATATTTGTGGCATTGCATTATTCAATTTTTAATAATGGTCTAATTTGTATTTTTACCTAAAGTTAATTTCCATTTCAAATTTGTATCCCTTCTCTTTTACTTCGTAGTATGTACTATCTCCGTTCTTAAATAAGTGTGACATTACAAATTTTACACTATTCGCATGTTCTACTTTGACTACATTTTATTTATTGATGTATTAATATGTATTTTTGAAAAAAATATTACTAAATTTGTCTCATTGTAAATTTTTAAAATCTGATTTTTTAATTTTTTTACTAATAGAGAGTTATATATATTAATAGTCAAAGTTGTGTCTCGGTAAATGTGAAATGTTTAGTGTTGCACTTATTTAAGAATGGAGGTAGTAATTATTAAGCACAATCCAAAGTATTTCAATTCCATTTCGAATATACTTTTGAGAGTAGTATGGCATGCAAGCGCCATATATATAAGGTAGACTCAAACTTATTTGTTGAAAAAAATGAAAAATAACAAGTACGTATCTAGCTAATTGGATTACATACCTTCACAAGAATAAGAGGGGGCATACAGTAGAAGCGTTTTTGCTCAGATCTAATTAATTGCTCCATAATAGAAATGGAGAGCTATTGTCACGACTCAAAGAGCTTTCGATACCATGACCATACAATAATCCGTGAATCCCAGGTGCAAAACATAATATTGGCATTGTTGACATGGTTCCATGGTCCTGCGGTCGGGCGACTTGACATGCATGATATTGGCATTGTTTTCAAGTTTTAAATATGACATTATCTTTCCAAATTTGGCATTATTTTCCGAGCATGCATGACAACAGTCGGCGGTGGTCCAGCGATGGTGGTTAGCAGTGGTCACTTTCGAACGGGATAATCGTAACTGGTCACACATGTTAACTGTAATGATCCGATTGAATAACTGTAACTGGTCGGGTTATTTAACTTAAATGGTCGGGCGGATAACTGTAATTGGTCATGTAACTATGTAAGTATGTAACTATAACTGGTAACTGTATTCAGATGGTCACTATATCGGGCTCAGTTTCCCCAAACCCTATTTACTAAAATTTGAGTAATAAGTTGTTGTTCTAATTTGAGTAATAATAGAAAAAGTTTTTTTTTAACGCAGTAATGATGTTAATTTTTTAGCTCAGCTTTCACGTAATAATTAAACTTGAATTGGCATTCGGACAATAATATTACTCCGTACTAAACAAAGATTATCAGACAATAAAGAGACGTACTTTTTTTTATTTAATTTCAAAAATGGGACTAAAAATGAGTATAAGAACTATTATACCCTTATTAAGTCCAACTGACTGATATAGGGGTTTTTTTATTTGAATATTACTAATTTTGAACCAGTTACAAAAAACGTGATCACTTTTAAAAAGGACAAAAAAGTGATCAAGAAAGTCATATTAATGTCAATCCAAATTTTAATTTCACTATCCTGTTTTAATGTCACTATCAAATGTCACCGCCCGCCACCGCCCGTGTCACTGCGTCCACCGCCTGTGTCACTTTTATGTCACTATCGATTTTTATGTCACTTTTATATGTCACTATCGCCGTCAAACGTGTCACTGTGCCGTTAACCATGTCACTATGTCACCAGAAATTTTTCCGATGACTTTTTCTGGTGAAATGTTATCATCCTCCACAATTTCCGCTCTGTGAAACCGCCGCCACAATGGATGAGACACCTACTGCCCCTACCATACCCCCGACCCTCCCTTGGTCTCCCTGAGCTGCTCAACCCCCTCCCAGCTGATATTCATGTAATTTCTGATTGTATGTTTGTATTTTTAACTAGTTTTTATTAGTTTTAGTTGTGGAAATTACACACTTTTGGTGTAATAGTTTAGTTTGTAAAATATTTGTAATTTGTTTAGATTAGGTTTACTCTGAGCTCAAACAGGTCCATGATCACTCAAGGGACCATTGGTGAACCTCAAAAGTGGAAGGAAGGTGCAAAAATGCAAGACAAAAAGTGAAGATCTCGTTTTTGGTCTGTACCCGGTCGGGTATGACCTGTACCCGATCGGGTACCTTGCTGAAAATCAAATCGGATCGCACCCAAAGAAAAAGCAACATGCAGAGAAGATTTTGACCACGTTCGGATGTCATACCCGATCGGGTGGCCGACATACCGATCGGGTATGACCCTATTTTCCAGCTTCGAGGAAGCTGCATAGTGTACCCGATCGGGAGCTTTCTATACCCGATCGGTTACACACTCCTGCATGCTCCATTTTCCTATAAATAAACCCCTTTCCTTCCCACAAAAATGACCAATTCACATATACTTTTTAGCTCAGTTTAGATTAGTGTTTTCTTTATATTTTCTATCATGTTTAGTCTCCAAATGAGGAGCTAAACTCTTCCATCTTGGTTTTGCTACTTTGAAGCTTAATGACTTTGTAAGTTGTGAGTTATTATCTTTAATCTTCTTCCTTGAATATTAATTCTTCCTTTACATACTATTTCTATATCAATGTTAGGGAGTGTTACTAAGATGACAATTAGTTAACATCTTGACATTAGTTATAGTAATAGTTATTTCTTCCTCTATGTTAATATTGGGGAGTGTTACTAAGATGACAATTAGTTAACATTTTGATATTAACTATAGTAGGATTCATCTTCTTTAATATTCTTCCTTGAGTATTAATTAATTCCTATTCATATTTCATATTAATATTTTGAACATTACTTAAAGGATCAACTAGTTTTGTTTCATATATTAATTATTACTAGAATCGATCGACGAATACGCTTGTCAATCGTTCGATCGTTTCACTGTAGTAAACTTGAGTTATTAATGCATGCGTTTCATGGTTAATAAACCAAGGGAAATTAATTATGTTAATTAAACCAATAAACCGCTTGTGTTGAGGTTATCGATCTCAATCGTTTTCATCTTGATTTTATTGCTACTGTCGGGTTAATATACGGCCTATATTAACTCGGTAGTAAGTTTTATTAATGAACGCGTCTCGTTATTAATAACTACCCTCGATGAACTGGATATACCCCTCGATTGAGTATTCGAGAGGAAGATAGTTAAAGATATAACCGGGATCGACGAACATTTCATTAAGTTGATAAAAGCAAAACCAAGCCTTCATCTAATATTAATTAAACCACATAAGTCATTCAACTTGTTGTTTTCATACTCTTAAGTTCTTCAACAAACTAACCCCCCCCCCCCCCTTGTTACAAGTTATATAAAAGAAAAGTATTCCTTTCCCTGTGGATACGAACCTTACTACGCTATACTACGTATAAGTGTTTGTTGGGATAATGGCCCAGGCCGAGGTCCGACCCATTAACCCCTTTTTTCTATCGGACGCACGTCATGCTAGGACCAGGCTGGGCGCAGGCCCATGACCCTTGGGAAGAGACGAACGTCTGGAATTGGGGGGTCCAGGTTCAAACGGCCCATCGCGACGAACGTCTGTGCAGAGGTAAGGGGCAGGACCACGGGCCCAGGGATAACGACGAACGTCTCCTGGGCAGGCCCATGATCGTCGGAGGAGATCCAGTCCACATGGAGAGAATCCACCAAGGTCAGGGGACGAACAGCCGAAGTCTCTTGAGGGTCACTTGGAGTGACCCAGCTCACCCCCTGGCGGACGAACGTCCCCATTATTTAGGCGGGAAGCCTAGATTCTGGCGGGAAGTGCATTTAATGCAGAAGATTTGGTGGTTGGGACACAAGCGGTCCGCAGGCCTCCACGTCAGCATAGCCACCTGCCCATTGGCGGGTATAAATAGAAGCATTTATTTCATTGTAAATGGTTGGCAACTTTCTATTCTTAGCACCCTAGCTATAGCATTCTTACTTGCAGCACTTCTACTGCCTTGTAAGACGAACGGCCGACGGAGCCTTAGCGAAAAGTATTGTATTAGGGAGTTATTAAGAGATAATAATACCTAATCACTTACTCGCTACCTTATTGTTTCTTGATCCCTATCATCTGCTTGTTGGGCTAGTTTACTCACACGCACTCCACTCGAAATCTTTGGGCTTACGTGTTGGGCCTGAAGGTTGAAGGAATAAACCTCAACACTGGCGCCGTCTGTGGGAAACTGAACTAAAAGTTTCCAAAAAACTCTCCCAAACAGCTACTAAGTCTACCCACAGCAAGCACGATGACAAGAAACAACCGCCAACGCGACCTCTCCGAGCAGTTGTCCCGCGGACGAAGCAACCGCGGGCAAACCACGGAACGTTCCGAGACGTTGGGGACAACCGGGGGAGAGGATGGCCTCACAAACCTCATCCCCCATGAAGCCAGGCATGACCCTCGACTCATGAGGGAACTGGCGGAAACAATGCGCCGAATGGCGGACGAAAAGGAGGCGAACGAAGAGGTGCATTCAGCTAACACCATCTGGACGCCCATATCGCCCGTCCGCCGCATGCAGTCCCTGGACGAGACAGCGGAATCTGCCGGGCGCCGGACACCCATCCACATGAGGCTGGGCCAGAATCCGTCTTCCCATGGAGCTGGGGGGCACACCAGCGCCAGCACCCCCCGTTATGGTTGGCAGGATGACCACCGGGGACGCACACCGGATGTTCCCTCCGAGCAGCGGGGCACCGCCATTACCCCCCGCCGCCAGTAACATTGGACGACGTTTCCAAAGGCATGGCGCCCATATCACACGAAGGCAACCCGACGCGGTTGCCCCACGAAGGAACATTGCGCTCGAGGCCGCCCCTCCTGTGTCCCCCGGAAGGGCCGCACAGGAGGCCCGGCTAGAGGCAATGGAGCGGCGATTAGCGGAGATGGACAGACGGGCGGAGGCCACCCCAGCCACGCCGCGCTTCTCCCTCACCTCACCCTTCACCCCGAGGGTCATGAATGCAGAAATTCCGCGGGACTGCAGGCCCCCCCAGGGAATAGTATACAACGGGACCGGAGATCCTAAGGCTCACCTGATCAGCTTCCAGGGGAACCTCTCTATGCTGGGGGCATCCGATGAGGCCATCTGCCGG